GGGATTCAACACAAAACTTCGGCGGTCCTAGGGGCCACCCCACCCAAAACGCCCCCACCAATTTTGTGTTGAATCCCAGTGGGATTCAACACAAAACTTCGCCGGTCCTAGGGTCCACCCCACCCAAAACGCCCCCAACAATTTTGTGTTGAACCCCAGTGGGATTCAACACAAAATTCCCTTGCATCTACTCCTAAACCCCACGGCCGGAAACACCCCAAGCCAATGAATTCAACACAAGATCGCTTGTTCGGAACGGCAGTCGTTTGTGTTGAACCCCACTGGGGTTCAACACAAAACCTGTGGTTTTGCCTATGTTGGACAAAAATTGAAGGCACGGATTTCCTGCAACACAGGCAAAACCTGAGGTTTTGTGTTGAACCCCAGTGGCTTTCTACACAAATGACCGCCGTTCCGAACAAACGATTTTGTGTTGAATTTTACCCCTGGACCAATGGACGGGCGGACACCTAAAGCTAGATGGAACCCCAAATCTAAATCTCAACCCCCAAGCCCTACACCATCATTCGTATGATAGAATATTGTGTTAGTCTCACATTTAGGATGACTGCGAATCAAGGTTTTTCTTGGGAGGGTGGTGATCATGCTAGCGTCGCCGTCTTCGTCGTCGCCTTAGTCGAAGTTGGGGAGGAGCAGGAGGACGGGGCTGAGGAAGAGGATGAGGAGAAGGACGAGCAGTAGTACTGTACTTCTAGTCTTACTCAGAGTGCTTACAGCTTACACACAGCAAAAGTCGGTTCGATTCGGAGACCCCTGGCTTTGTTAGTTGGGTTTCAAAGTGATGGGCTTCCACGAATTCCACAAGCCCAGTCCGATGTAGAAGGCTATCAATAATTACGATCTGTGTCACTGTCAAGAAGCAGCCTGGCAACTGGGGGTGCTGAAAGTGCGCAGTTCCGCATCCTGTGACGGTCGGCATGTGCAGAATGTGACAGCGAAACTATTTGTTCTGTGTGTTTGCCGCTTTCAGTCAAGACCGTGCAACGACAGGTAGCACCTCAGGACTCGCTGCCATCATGGGCGGCAAGAAACGTACCAGCAACCAGGACGCGCGTGCGAACGACGAGAGACCCGTCAGGCGAAAACCCTCCGCAAACCTCGAGACACCGCCTGATGTGTCAAAGGCTTTTGTGCTGTTCCCCCCGCTCCAACGCGCGATCGAGGTTTTCGAAAGCTGGTGGCAGGAACACCAGGATGTGGAGGGCATTATGAAGGCCCTCTGGCCCGACCCCGATTCCCAGAAGGCATGGGTGATGAAGCTGGACCAGCTCTTCCCTCCTGAAGACGGTGTGCCGTATCTGAAGGCCCAGTGGGGAGATCATGGGCCCAAGTTCTTGAGACCGTGGCACTGGGGATGGACCAAGGCTTGTGGCAACAAGGGCACAGTCACCAAGGACAACTTCTTGTACTTGCTGCAATCTGTGATGGTCAAGGGAATGGTCACAGACCATTTGCAGGCAGGCATTGAGCTTCCCCTAATCATGCCTGCGCGAGATACCTTCAAAGACGACTTCTGCAGCACGGTGACTGTGAACGAAGAGCCATGACGATTTTGGGAGTCGTCTTTTAATTTATCGTTTTTTCTTGTTGTAGAAGCCGATACTTACCGACACGTCTTCTGTCGCTATGTGTTATACTAGGGATATAACTCTTTCAACAATAAGGTTTGGGGGAAACTACACTATAGCTAAAACCAGGAGTCCGAAGTTACTAACGATTTACGACCCGTATCTTACTTGCGAATGCAACACACCCCAATTTACCAAGCCTACTTCAGGACCTGGCCCCGGCATTCTCGGTGCATGAGATCAAAGGACGGAGCCGGGCGACGGCAATGTACATTGCGGTTGCTGCCGCTGAGAAAGCCGGCATCTTGGACGACTACATTGGCTTCCTCACGTCAATGGGCATGAACATCCCCGAGGGGAAGGATGAGATCGACATCAACCGCGGCAACTTGCCAAAAAAATATGTTCTCCTACTGATACTGAATCCGTTCCCTTACAGATAGGTTTCTATTGCCTACTACACCCCAAATTCCGAACACCGCAAACCCTAGACGCTTAGCCTCCAGCTGTATTATTATGAACAACCCGAAGAAACCTGCAAACCCAAAGTCCGTCTATAACTGTCTATAACCTAGACCCTGAGCCCTACTTAATCCCAAGACCCCGAGCCGACTCGTATAACATAGTAACATCGTATTAGCTGCAAGCCCTCCCATTCGGTGAGCCTTGTTTGCGCCGTCTCGCTCTCATCCGATCGTCCGCCTGGCCCGATCTAGATCACAAGCATAGCATAGGGTATACGGACCATATTTTATTGTCTAGGATGTGGGTCGGTGTTGTTGGCATCAGCTTCAACTTTGCTGTTGTCTCCGCACTAAGATGTCACCCTGGTGTCGGTGATGAGCAGATCGAAGCCGAATTGCTTTACGTACGTGCATCCGATCGACAAGCGGGTCCAACTCTACGATTATGACCCGAGACAGCAGCTGAACACATTCAAAGAAGCTGCCACGCAATTCAACTTGTCAAGGGGAGAGTCCGATGCGGTGGAGAACTTGCTGCTACATATCTCCCCAGCGAGCCGCGAGATGCTGACCAAAATGTCGTCGACTTTTGGCATGGTGAGAGGCCCGATCACGCACTCGGGCATCGCTTCCAAAGCACTCCGAAACAACTTTCACCGTGAGTCGGGCATCGCCTTCTACCAAGACAAGCTGGGCAACGCTGAGGGGACTGTGGAACTCATACTCTCCCGGGTGCACAAGGACTATATCAACACGGCCGTTGGAATGCGAGCGTCTGCTAGCGATGACAGGATTCAGCAGCTGCAGAAGATCTGTCGCATGTTCCAGTTGTTCTTGGAGCTCTTGGAGACAAAGCTTTCGGAAGAGGCGAGCTGTCACTTTGTTTTGCTGAACATGCAGTGCAATGCGCTTCGACTCTTAACCTTATGACGGCGAAGCATTGGAAGTGTAGGGGAGCCATCCATTTAATTATATTAGATAATAATACAGAATGAATACGAACCAGATACAAACGAAAATAGGATTGGTACAAAAAATACAGAATAAGTGCGATATAGAAATAGGGAAGAATACGAAACAGCTGGGAAATAATAAAGAAAAAGCAGAACATGAAATGCCCGCGCAAATAAGGGACATTTTCGTTACACGTTTTGTTCGTGTATGTTTTACACTATGTTGTCTTAAGTCTGGTGTGTTGGGGCCAAAACTGACTTATTGTTCGTCCTATTTGTGTCCTATTTTGTCCTATTGTTTTCGTAATTCTTTCCTACTGTTTTCGTATTCATTTCCTATTCTCCAATCGTATTCATTTCGTATTTAATCTGTATTATACCTCTAATTTAATAAACTGATAGATCTGGAACACTCCATTATGTCGCGCCGTCTTAATCTTAACCCTAAACCCCTCATCTCGAAGCTACTTCCATACTGATGCCCAATCACTGCCTCCAGAAAATCCTGCTCAACTTCAGCAACCGCCGGCGATGACCCAAACCCGAAACCACAACCTTCACTGAGCCTCAGCCCTACACCCTAAACCCGAAACCCCAAACCCTAGAACCCAAAGGCCTACAAGCCTCGAAACCCCGAACAGGTCTTCATGGCCGAGCGCCCCAACCTGGTGGAGTCCTTCATGAGCGGAAGCTTCGACGATGAGCTGCTCGTAGCTCGGCCATCCTCAGACTTCCAAAGTATAAACACAGTCAGTAGGGATTCTGAGGAACGGATTAAAATGGGATCTGGATTGGGACGGGGCGTAGAAATTCACTGATAGCTGGCTGAATTATTGTCTTTAGACACGGCAACATGTTTTCAGGACTATGACTATGACTGACCTGTAAAGCTAAAGCTGGTGCCGCACACCGTCAGGAACTACCTGGAGCCTGGTTTATCCCCCCTTATCAATGACTATAATTCAGGTTAGTTGTTTGCCCGATCCGACTACAAGTCACTCCGTGCCAGGAACAAGCAGACAAACTCCCTGTCCCTCTCGACTGCGCAGCCCTCCCGGAGTTCCGACACTTGACGCAACGTGCGGCGAACCAGCTCAGGAGCGAGGAGCTCAGAAAGAAGAAAGAGCTTCAGGCACAGGTCGACAAGGCCTCGATTCAGAGCCTCACGGAGCAAGTGACGCAGGACGTCGAGGCCTTGAAGGTCTATGACAAAAGTCTTGCCGAAGCGAAAGAGCTGTGGGGTGATATGGTGCAATCATACAAAAGGAATCGTCTGAACAAAGGCTTGACAAGAGTCGACGAGATCATGAACACACGCCTGAGCGTGCAGACTTTAGAGGTGGGCGGCCCAAATGGTGGGTTCAAGTCCATCCCCAGGCACTACAACCTCTTCAAGAGTGGTGCGGCCAAGGACATGGACCTGAAGGACATCGTCGATGCCGACACGTGCCCTGCACATGTTTCGAAAGCTATTACATGTTTGAGTTTCGCAACGAGAACCTATTTAATTGCAGAACATTTCTTCGAGCGACCGCAAGTTCCAATCAAGGGAGACGATCTGCGTCATCGACCTCGCTTTCAAAACCCTTCCGCTCCCCAGCATTCAAGAGATGATCAAGGCTGCCAGTGACATTTGCCACCAGTCGTGCCAAAACTGTCTTTTGATCAGATTGCCGACTAAGACCAAAGCAACCACGATGACAGCACACCTCAACTTGACACGGAAAATCGAAGACGCTTTGCTAGCAAACTCCTTAAACCCAGAGTATCACATGACAGCGGTCTTCGATGTCGCGTCGCTGCACGGGGGTGACTCACGAGAAGGAGTTGCGAGGTTTCGTTTGTGTCTGTCGGAGAACTATGACGGATCGCCGTGGCTGACAAGCTTTGTGAGTAACTTTGTCCTTTCCAAATGCAAGTTTTTTACGGACCGGGGTTCAAGGGGTACTAAATTTTATCCACTAATGTTTAAACCGAAAAATTGAAACTGAGCATACGAAAGGCAAGAACCACTGGACGGTGGAAAAGGTGCCGCTCGTCTCTCACAAGGATATGAGGCTTGTGCCTCACGCGGATGCGCAGGAGCAGAGCGACGAAATTGGGGTCGGAGACCGCGTGGCCCAAATTGGCCCCAAAGGCTGGAAGCACATCATCAGCCAGGTATGCTTGGGGCGAAAGTGGTCCAACAAGGACGATCCGACTCGACACAAGGCCAGGGAAGCAGAAACTGTACGGAAGCCCTAAATTCGCCACATCGTGCATCATGTGCAACACCCCAAACTGCAACGACCTAGAGCCCTGGCTTCTTAACCCCGGAACAGCCTTGAAGTCCTCATACGTACTATTGCCTTAGATTCGGACGCTTCGATCGGAAGGGGTCTATATTTTATGCAATCTATGTGGTCCAGTCTTTGCTTTGGCAGCCTACGTTATATATGTGGTTGTAAAGGTTCTGCTTGTTGGGGGAGAGCCCAAGACCCAAAACCTAGATCCCAAAATTTAGGCCCAAAACCCACCCGCCAGAAATCCGCAGAAACTCACCACGAAAAAATCAACTAAGTCTAATTGACCAGGTGATTGTCGTCGATCCAGCACCCGGGTATGGCGACGTCGTCGATGCAGTCTGGGCCCTGAATCAAGCCTGGGAGAAAGGAGCAGACGTGCCCCTGTTCATCGGCATCAACTTCTACTGGCCCGGCAACGACTCCGAAAAATCCAAGGCTGCAGGCATGACTTCGTATGTCAAAGGCCTTTTGATGAGGACCTGGTGGGAAACCTGTCAGGAGGCAGGGGACGCCGAGCCCAAGCGAACAGATGCAACGACCGTACACCGGCCAACCTTGCAGGTCCTGACTTGGGACGGCATGAAGGCAGTCGTTCCCGACATGGTGACAGAGAGGTTCAGAGACGCGGAGGATGACGTGCGCAGCGAGTGGACGGTCTTGTGCAAGAATGTTCAGGACGAAACTCCTAAACCCCGAACCCTAACCCCAAAACTCCTAAACCCTGAACCCTGAACCCTAAACTCGTAAACCTCGAAACCCTAAACTCCTAAACCCTGAACCTTAAACCCTAAACTTTAGAACCCTAAACCCTGAACCCTAAATTCTAAACCCCTAAACCCCTAAACCCTAAACCCTGAACTCCTAAACTAAACCCTAAACTCTCAGACCCCTAAACCACTATACCCTAAACCCCTAGACTCCTAAACCCGGCTTCGGGTTATCCAAACCAAGCCAGGAACCAAGCGTTGCTATTGTAGTTTACCCTTCAAAGTTAAGTCTAGCCTAGCCTAGACCCGAGCCCAGCCGTGAAAGAACATCGTAGGCCAAGCCACACGATGAATGCATCACCATGCCAGCGGGAGCCTGCATTTGGTTCTTTAGTTAGGTTCTGTTGCTACTGTGGTCGCAAGACCACATGAGACTGCCCCGGATAGCCTATGAAATTTGAACAACGGCCCAAGATCTGAAACCTTTAACGTTAGCAATCCAAGCCAATCCTCAAACTAGACCTGCCCTTACTCTAGAAGTGCTTTGCATTTTGCCCGGGTCTTTATAATGCTGGTGAAATGATATTTGTGAGCATCTTCCCTGATGTGCCTGCTTCGCGAAACATTCCTGCCCGGTAGTCAAGTATGTAGGATGTCTTCTACTCGTGACCGATGTCCCCCAAAGCTCAAACCACCGCACCAGGATGGCCTCGACTCTCTGCACTCGCTCACATCCGTGGCAGCCGCCTCCGCTCAGAACGGGCGTGTTGGGGTCAAGTTCACAGGGCCGGAAGCCCATCCATCGGAAGGGCACGATGGGATCGATTTGACAAGGGATTTGAACGAGATGTTGGAGGCGTTCGACCGCGAAGACGTGGACATGTCGAAAGTGCTTCTTGTCTCCAGGGCTAGGAGTCCTAAACCTACAAACCTTTTTTTGCATCAGGGCTTGTGCAATCGACTGAATGTCTACAAACCCTAAACCCTTGACCCTGACCCCTTCAAACCCTAAACTTTCGATCAGGAAATTTGTAGGGTCTGTGAATGTCTGTGCGTCCGAGGCTGTACACGGTGAAGCCAGCAAAGACGATGCCGGGGATTATGCTCTTAAAAGACATGACCATCCTGTTGTTTTCGGAGGAAGCGATGCACGGCCGGAGCTGGAAGTGCCCAGCTTGCGAGCTGTTCGGGTTTGGGTCTGGATCACTCACAGTCGACGACACCGACCTTTTCAAAGGCCGGACGATTCATCCCACTGAATCTGTATAAACACTTTAAACCTTAGAGTTTACGTGATATCGAAGGGGTAGCGGGGTCATGGAAGGAACCCAGCGCGTTGGAGCGACCCTCTTCCACATCGAGAATGACTACGACTACGTCGTGGCAGTGGAGGATGGCAAAAAGCACATTCAACGAGTCTGTGATCTTGTCTACGAGGCCCCGTACAACTTGATGTGGAGTTCGCTATATTAAAAGCTTACGGTGCCGGTTCTGAGTATGGACTACATCTGCAATTCGTCATAGCTACTTCTATGTTAATAACTAGTCTACTCTGTCAGGCGCTGCAGGCCGGAGTCGTCGATCTGAGTGTGGAGCACCACCAATGCTCCCCGACGAAGATCACCAAGCAGGCGGCAGGTCATTGCTTAGGAAATTGGTTCATCATTGCCAGGTGTTTTCGTCACGTGTCTACTGCACTGTGTGTCTTGTACGACTATGTTACTCATAGTATAGATTGTGCGAGATTCGTAGTAACGCCGGACTCAGACTATAATGGTTGGGGATCTAAGTGTTAGCGGCAGTCGAGGCCCTAACCGTTGAAACTGTTGCTACTACTAGTGCCAAGAATAACCGGCCAAGACAACATCCTAAAAGCATGAACCGTAACCGTAAACCCCGCTGCTACTAACTGTAAACCCGTGGGACAATAAAGCTGCGATTCCTGCACTTTGAAACATTCGACCCCGCAGCCCTCAAAAATGAAGTCAACCCCGAAAATAAATTCGCATAATATCCAACCCCTATGAACCTACCTACCTACCTACCTACCTACCTACCTACCTACCTACCTACCTACCTACCTACCTACCTACCTGAAACCTTGAACCTTACCCTCTCATCTAACTAAACCCCACGTCGATGAACCCACCGTCGACCCGACAACTTTGCAAAACTAAGTGCTACACATCTAAAACCCAAGCCCTTTGTCAATTGCAGCGAAACCATAAATTTCCGGAGCCCTAGTTGAAACTGAAATTGCCGGGGCATTGCACACCCTCCAATCCTAAATAACTACTATCGAGAACCGAACGCGAATCCAAGCTTCCCGAAAACCTGAGATGCGTGCCTTCCAGGGCCGGGAGGTCGAGCTCCACTGCCGCCTGACGCTTGGGCTCAAGAAGCAGGCCCGTGCATTCATTGGAGATCGGCTCGACGACAAGACACTCGCGCAGTCGGTGATAAAACGTGGGGTCTTTGGAGCCGTGTTCCGGGATGAGCCGAAAGCCCTTCCAACATCTGGGGGTGCGATAGTGTGGGAGGTTCAGAAATCCTTGAACCCACCAGCAATGCTGAAAGCGTACAAGCCCAAGCTTTGGCTCCTGGGGGCTTTGACGATGGATGCCACGAAAGTCTATGCACTAGAGTGAGCATCAATCCTGTGCCAGTAAAGGCAAGTCATTTCAAAGGAGGCACCGTGCAGACAACGGCAGCGACAGCGGATTAAATTAAACGTCTTTTCTGTTGAATGGCATATGACAATCAAGTCTTTAACATGGAGCTCAGGATACCTGCACTGATGGTGCCTCCAACCGTACACTGTTTTCGCAGCCCTTTCTGCGCTGCTTTCGTACAACGAAAGACGAGATTATTATTAGAATACTAACTTGTTAGGATAAGTAAGCTTTAGGACTCAAGAGGGTCGAAAACGATGGCAAGCTGCACGCTGTCCGATTCCTTGTGTTGCACTACGACGCCGTGCTGATGTTCCCCTTGTGTTGCACTACGACACCGTGCTTACTGCCGCATCGATCTGCTATGCGCAAAAAAGAATAGGTGCGACCTACCATTGACATTGATTGTGTGCATGCCCACTGAAAACGACATGCATCCTATTCTTCATTGTCTGTTCGCTCAATCAACATGTATCCAGTGGTCTGATGTTTCCATCTCAAAGCTGTGGGTTTGAAGACGAGCTAGCAAACCGCCCCAGATCACATCAAGGATGACCGATTTCGATGATCGACGCATCGAGGTATCTGCGTCAGAAAGCCAGGGCCATAGCAGTCAGTGCATATATTATGTGAGAAACTTTTCGTGATTGAAAGCGTAAATACAGAAACAAATCCAAGGTGAGAAGACAGACATTATGGATGTTCCGAAGACGAACACCCAGGATGAGCCCGGGCCCTCCCCAAAGGATGACACGAGCACGGATGGGACGAACGGCGCGGAGGCCCCCGACACAGCAGCGACTGACACCGAAGCGGCCAAGAAACCCAAGCCGAAGACCAAGTCGAAAGCCAAAGCCAAAGGCAAACCCAAAGGCACGGCAAAAGCCAAGTCCAAGAACTCCAAGAAGACTGTGCTCGCAAAGAAAAAGGCGAAGAAGAACGCAGTGAAGGAGATTGAGACGGCCGACGACGAGGAGAAGGAGACGGCCAACGCCGAGGAGGAGCCGGCCGACGAAGAGCCGAAGAAGAAGCCAAGCGCAAAGAAGACCAAGAGCAAGAGCAAGAAGACGAAGAACAAGAGGAACAAGCGAAAGTGGTCAGAGACTACGTGGTACGGCGAAACCGGAACCGCGGACCTCCCGTGGCATGAAGAAGAGGGCTGGAATGTCCATCCTGAGGAGGTGCTCGATGGGCTCGGGGTGGAGTGAAGGGCTGGGGTTGGTATATATGTTTAGTTTAGGTCGGTAAACATGGGGTTTATGTGGATACACGTTCCACGTTGTGGGGTTAAGGTATCGGGTTTCAAGCATTAGTTCCAGATTCGGGGTCAAGGTTTAGGAGTAGGACTTCAGGGCTATGACCAATGGACCAAGCGTAGCTAGGAGGGTCCGGGGTAAGGTTTCGGAGTCAACAGTTATTCACAGGGGTCTGTTCAGGGTTAGTGTTATTCAGGGCTATGTTACATGGATGAAAACCAACACGAACCCAAGCAATGAAACACCTAGAACCCTAGGGCAAAAATCCCAAAATGTAGTATTAAGAAAAAGCAGCCTTTACAATTTATAGATTCAAACCCCATACAAAAGACCATCAACATCCGAAAACGCTAATTATCATAACACCCGAAACCCAAACCCTTAACTCAAAAGTCCAAACCACTAGTATTGAAAAATTAATCCTGAACCCAAAACCTGTTGTAAAGTAGCGGGTTCAGAAGACTGGCCTGAAACACCGAATCCTGCGCCTTACATGGATGATAACCAACACGAACCCAAGCAATGAAATACCTAACATCCTAAGGTAAAAATCCAAATAAGTAGCCCTGAGAGAAAACCCGCCTCTACAAGTTATTAGTTCAAAACCATACAAAATACCATCAGAGTCAGAAAATACGAATTATATTAATTATACGAATATCAGCAAACCCAAAACCCCAAATTAACAAATCCAAACCTTCAGTATGGAAAAAAGGGCCCTTAACTCAAAACCTGAATTAAACCCTTAACCAAGATCTCAGCACCAGGCCGTCGAAGATGAAGATTGCCCAGCCTTGACAGAGGCTGGAGAAATGGGGCTTTGAGGATTTTGGGGGGTTGACAGGGTGTTTGAATTAGGGATGTGTAACAAAGGTTTGAGGTTTGGGGATAGGGGTCATGTCAGGCACCCTTCGACGATGATGCACCGGAGACGAAGCCAAACAAAAAAGTCTATTCAGCCACAGACGAGACCAGCTACAAGCTGCACAAAAAGCTCAAGGAGGGCTATTGCTATGTCAAAAGCAGCCAGCCCGACAAGCAAATCTTCCAGGATCCTAGACAGCACCCAACCCCCCCATCCGCCCCACCCACCCACC